ATGTATGGCGACAAATATACTTTTTTTTTACATGACAGTTATGCTTTACACTCCTTCATTTTTTATTTAATGCATATTTATATAATTAACCTATATTTCTCTTACCATACTTATATTATTATTTAAATCTATTTTTTGTCAACTATTATTTAAATCAGTTATATGTAATGTACATGTGTCATAACTAATAAATGATATAATATAATCTAACACTATTAAAAGCTCTTATTCTAGAGCAAAGAGATTGTCCACGTCTGATTTTTTATTCAACCAATCAGGGAGCTTCATCAGTCCACGTCACCTTCGCTTTGAAAGAGAGCTCTCATCTGTCCACGTCACCTTCGCTTTGAAAGAGTAATGTACATTAACATTAAACAGACTCGTCCGATGGACTTCTCGGATGATCACTGTTAACAGTCTTGCTAAACAGCGGCGGAGGAAGAAAGGGAGCTCCATATCCGGTTCAGACCGCTCGGTTTTCGGTCTTTTATAGTTGACCGGAGAGTCTTTCGTTCCCCTGGTAGTAAGCTTAGATCTTGAGTTCGAGAAACCGTCACGGCGTTGCATTTGCCAGACATTGGTACAGATCTCGGAGGAGATTCGTCGAGATCTGAGATAGTTCCTTTCTCCTACAGGTAAATTTCTTCATTGCTACTGCTTTAGTTCTGCAATATAATGTTTCAAAACACTAAAGCTTACTGCTTTCTCTGTTTTAAACAGACATTTTTGGTAAATGGAGCTCAAGGCTATTAGCTATCGCACTTCTCACTTTTGGGCAGAGCTTGGCCACTGCCGGAACTTACGTTTAACAATACATAACGTAATGTATGATGAGTTTCTTGGCTTAAAAGAGCAAAAGGAATCTCTGGATTTAACCTTGAGAAAGAGGAGGAAGAAGAAGAGAGTGTGAACTTTGGTGATGTGAGTGAAGTTAAGAACAGAGAAGAATGTGATGAACAGTCTGAGACTCAGAGAGAAGAAGATTTTGGAGAGATGATGGAAGATAAAGAAAGAGAGAGTCAAGTTCGGTGGAGGTGTGGATGATGAAGCTACTCAAGTTGAGAATGATAACTTAGAAAAGATTCAACAAATTGATGAACAAGTGTTGGCTGATTCAGACAGAGAGAGTGAGGATAGTGGCTCAACAAAGCTTCCTGACATTGTAGAAGATAACCAAAAGGTAATGAAGAAGAAATTTTCAGAAGAGGCTAAAACTGATGGCAATGGATCTAGAGCAACTGAAGAGATTGAAGAGCAAGAAACTGATAAATCTGATGTGGGCAGTGGCTTAAAAGAGCTTCTAGACATTATGGAGCAGGAAGATAACCAAGTAGTAATGGAGAAGAAATTTTCAGAAGAGACTAAAAGTGATGACAATGAATCTGACACAGTTAAAGAGATTAAAGAAGAACAAGAATCTGATGAGGGTAATGGCTTAGAAAAGCTTCCATTCATTATAGAACAAGAAGATAATCAAGAAGTAACCGAGCAGAAATTTTCAGAAGAGAGTAAAAGTGATGGTGACATAGGATCTGGAGAAGTTGAAGAGATTAAAGAGAAAAAATCTGATGAGATAGGTAGAACAAGAGTAGAGAAATGGAAAATAAAAAGACTGAAGGTGAAGATAATGATGATGGCTTGAGGAAGGCTCAAGGGATTAAAGAACCAGAGAGATACAAGGAAGAAAGCAATATTCAAGAAATGGTTGAAGAAAAAACAGGTGGTCAAGAGAAGATAAACAATAAGGATGCCAAGAGAGAGTCTGGTGGGAAAGAAACTCAAACTGACGATGCTAACTTAGAAAAGAGTCAACAGATGATGAAGAAGAAAGAGTTGGTCAACATGAGATTCCTGATTCAGTTACAGAGAGTGAAGACAGCAGTAGCTTAAGAAAGCCCACAGATATTTTTGAACAAGACGTGAAGAAGCAGAAAGATTCTCAAGCAGAGACTAGAAGTGATGATTTTGGGTCTGGAGCATTTGAAGAGATTCAAAGACAAGAACCTCATGAGCAGCTAGGTGGAACAAGTAAAGTTAGAGAAACGGCTGATGATGATGGCTTGAGAAAGGCTCAAGGAATTAGAGAGCCAGTGAGACGCAATGAAGTAAGCAAGAACCATGGAGTGGTGGAAGGGGAAACAAGTGATCCCGAGAAGAGAAAGGTTGTAAAGATGGCAAAAAATGATGTAGAGATAGGAGAAGGATCCACACCAAACACTGAGAGATCACAAGTAGTTGCAGAAGATGATGCTGAGACAAATACTGAGGAACTTGAATCGGGAAAACCAGATAAGAAACATGAATTGGTTGAGAAGAAAGAAGAAACAGAGGAAGAAACTAAGGTGAGAAGACAAAGTGAAGACAGAAGCTTAATAAAGCTTCAAGAGGATGAAGAACCACATTCTACGGGAATAAAGCGACAAGACAAACAAGAAAATAACAAAGAATTGGTGGAAGAGAAATCTCCAGAGGCAGAGAAAAATATAGGGAATGATATTCCAAGACCAGTGCAAGAGACTGAACATGAGGAGGGTGCTTTAGGGGAAGTAATGGAGCAGAAAGTTTCAGAAGAGACTAAAAGTGATAACATTGGATCAGGAGCAGTTGAAGAGATGGAGAAAAAGATAACAGGTGGTCAAGAGAAGAATGCCAAGGAAGAATCTAAAGGAAAAGAAACTCAAACTGAGGATGAATATAAAAATGCTCTAGAAGTGGTGGTTTTGGATCTAGAGATTCTGAAGAGATTGAGAAACAAGAACCTTGTGAGCAGCTAGATGGAGCAAGTAAAAGAATAGCAATGCGACATATAAATTGGCTGTAACATCTTCTGTAGCAAAGCATGAATACTATCATGGTACTTTATTCTTCTTTTCAATCTATGTGCACATTAGTTCTTTCTTAATAGACACATCATTGAGAGTTCAACACATCATTAGAATCTGATGTGATCTTCAATAATATAATTGTTGGTTCATCAAAGCTCACACTATGGTGTAAAAGTTGTAATGTTGGGCCGATAAGGTGAACATTATGATCTACATTTGTAAAAAATGACCTTATGTGATAAATAAAACTTGGTGAATTTTGAGAAGGATCCTACAACTATTGACTATAAAAAAAAACAAAATTCAATTTCACTAAGGATCCAAGTAAAACATTGATTTTTTAAATAATAAATCACAAAGCTAAAACAATAGGGATGAGCACCCTCAAATAATATTTGAATCAAAATTATTCATTTATTATATAACATAAAATTACTCTATTTATTGTCTTATATTGTTCACATTATCACATATAATAACCAGTTGAAATTATTCATATTACTCTTTTCATTTGAAAATGAGTAGTTGCGAAATTTTTCATAGATTTTGGTTATAAATATATTATTTTATCACTTTTTTAACAACTAAAATAATAAAATAAACTGCTAAAAACATAGATGGTTAAAACATATTTGTAGTTAATAAATTAATTAATTTACCCAAATAGTACTATTTTCTTACCACATTTTATCATTTAAGAAATAAATTAAAATATTATATTAAATATCAGATCCCAGTAAACAAAATTAAAATAGGATGTCAACTAATTTACCTAGCCTTGGTTGGAGTTTTTATGTGATAGTTTTTAAAAAGTTGTTCAACACTTTAAATTAAACATTTTAAACTTTTTTCCATTTAGATAAAATACGTTTGTTTGTTAAATTAATTTTCACGGAGTCAAGAATTGTATACTGTTGTTTACTTAGCAACTAAAAAGAAATTTCTATAATTTCTTAGTGATATATTTACAGGAATTAAAGTAAATTAATTTACGATATCTATGAAATTTAATTTACGATATCTATGAAATTTAATTTTATGGTAAATATCTAACAAACAACATTTTTTAACACATTAAAAAAATATCTTATTTATAGAGTTCACTTAAAATTTGATAGTTTTAATATATGTATATATACATATTTTATAGTGTATATAATCAAATATAGATTGTATATTATACTAAAATTAATATAAAAATATATGAAAATCTAAGTAAAATAGTTTGAAATAATTAATGGGTTTACATATTCGAATTTAAAATGTAAAATATAATTAAATTAAAAAAATAAATCAAATTACATAATTTTTGATAAATTATAAGCAATTAATCCGCGCGTAGCGCGGAAAAAGTCTCTAGTAATAATAATAATGATGAATCTATTTATCTATTCTATTAAGTTAGGTTCATGACATATTGATAAATATTATGTCCAACTATTTTATTTTTTATATCTATCTATTTTATTAAAACATAATAACCTATTGATATTAGTTCAATCTAATAATTAAATTAACAAAATATACCTATATATTCGTATAACTGCATCGAGAATAAAAAAAGACGATCCATATCCGGTGTGGGCGTTAGAGCATTGAGAGGACCTTTCTCTAGTACGAGAGGACCGGGAAGAACGCACCTCTTATATAATAACTGCAACAACATTAACTTCCCTTATTTTTTTTGGTGTTCGGGTATAATATTGTATTACATTAAATTCATATCATACAATGATTATACAAATACATAAATATACTATACGAGGTCATAATAATTTAAACACAAAATATACCCGCCCTTTTAAAGGCGGGTCAATCTCTAGTATAGATTAATGTAGCTTATAAATTCTGAGAAAAATTAGGAAGTGGGTAGTTTATATTTAAACTCCAGAAAAATAGGAGATGCAAATATAAACTCAAAACTAATTATGTTTTCTAAAATAATCGGATACATTATGCTGGAAAAAATTATTCACACATAATTAGTTGCTTCACATAATATATCCGTGTATCATTCTTAGGCTTTGTGATGAGACAAGTTATAAAAGGTTGGTTATGTGAAATTTTAAACTTTCTTGTATTTTGCTTTTCCTGTATTTTTCAGTTGGTTTGAGAATTTTGATAATTTATAGGCGCACTTTAGTATATAAAGGATTAGCTGTCACTCACCATTCGGGCACTTTACTTACATAATTCATTTCTATCAAAAGCGCCGTCTCCTATAAAAATAAATCTCTCCCAACATTCTCTCCTTGAATCTCGTTCTGTGCGTATCCAACAACTCAACCAACCAACCAGCAACCTTTGACATTATGGCGAGCATCAGCAACGAGCCAGAGCATGAGCACAGAGACGAAGAAGAGTCCGGAGCCAACGAGGACGAAGACACCGGTGCTCAGGTCGCTCCCATCATCAAACTCGAAGAGGTCCCCGTCACTACCGGTGAAGAAAACGAAGATACAATCCTCGATCTGTAAGTCCTAATCCTGTTAGATCTGATCGTTTGATCAAATCCTGCTAGATCTGATGATCGTAGTTGCGAATCTGTAGGAAATCGAAGTTGTATAGGTTCGATAAAGATGGGAGTCAGTGGAAGGAGAGAGGCGCTGGCACTGTCAAGTTCTTGAAGCATAAGGAGTCTGGGAAGAGTCGTCTTGTTATGAGGCAATCCAAAACTCTCAAGATCTGTGCTAATCATCTCGGTATGATCTCTTTGTCATGGATCTGTTGTGTTTGTAATAATATACTCATTTTTTGATGATCTTCTCCTCTTTGTGCAGTTACATCGGGGATGAGTGTTCAGGAACACGCGGGGAATGAAAAGTCTTGTGTATGGCACGCTCGTGATTTCTCCGATGGGGAACTCAAGGATGAGCTTTTCTGTATCCGCTTTGCCTCTGTCGAGAGTGAGTCTTAATCAAACACTCTTGTGTATGGGTTTTGCTCATAGTCTAATTGTTGCTTGTGGTAGCACTGTTCTCATTGTGGCATACTTTGGAGTAGCTTAAACCTTATGAGTAATACTTTTTCAGGAGTCTAGAGTGCAGATACTGTATATTTAGGGCTTAGGTCACTGGAGAATCTTGAACCTAGTGGTTCATATAATCAATTGTTTTTGATCTTGATTGTCTGATTGTTGCTAATAGGAGCACTACTTCTCACTCTGACATACTGTGTAGTAGCCTAAACGTTATGGCTTAGATAACTGGAGGATCTTGAACTTGGAGATAATCACATGTTTTATGGATGTTCCTCAAGCTTATAGTATTACCTATTTTAGAGCTTTTACTTGTTTTGAGTTATTTTCCCTCTCACTTAATGATACCCTTTTCAAGGTGGCAATCCAATTTGAGGTATCTGGACATTTGTGTAGGTTCAAGTGTGTGATCTGCATAGTTAAGCTGTCTAAAGCTCTATTATTCTTACTGGCTGCTTCAATGTAGCTTGGGATTGAGCTAGTGTTGGAAACTCTTTCATGTGATATTATGTTTTTGTTTCTGAAGCGCTTTCTGTGTTGTTGATCCTGTCAAAGTCATTGTAGAGTTGAATTAAATAACCAAGTCTTGTTTACAATACCTTTATCAGATTGCAAAGCATTTATGCAAAAGTTCAAGGAAGTTGCTGAATCTGAAGAAGAGAAAGAAGAGAGTAAAGAAGCTTCTGATGCTGCTGGTCTGCTTGAGAAGTTAACAGTGGAAGAGAAGAACACCGAGGAGAAAAAGGAAGAGAAACCAGTGGAGAAGGAAGCATCAGATAAAGCTGTTGAAGAAAACAAAACTAAGGAGTCTGTGCCCTCAGCTTAAGATTCATGCACAGATAAAACAAACACAAAAGGCTTTCTTTTCTTTCTCTTTAAATTGATACATGTTTTGTCAGTGTCGTCATGTTCGCTTGCTGAGTCTGCATGTTAGTGTCACAAGGATACCATCGGGGACATTTACATCAGAGATTTTCAGGGTTGTTTTGGGATTCATCGTCTGGAAAGAATATCCTTTTGTTTTGATTTTACAAAATGTATGCATTTGATTGTGGTTTATTATTAAACAAGCCGTGTTACATCAAATTTGCATCTTGCAATTCCAGATAGGGGCAAATCTCCTATTTTTTTCTTTTTTTTTTTTAAAGTTATGACCAAAATAGTTCACAAAGAAGAAAATGATCCAAACTAACTTCTTAATAATATATTTAATATATGTAAATATTTTTAATATGTAATATTTGTAAATATTTTGGATATTTAATATATGAAAATGTTATTATTTTAAATTTTATACCATAAGTTCTAATTATAGATTTTAAACCTGTCACAAAACTAAATCCTGACTCTAAACCAATTAATTCTAAGGATATATGTATCTTTAAACTTTTAAGGAATGTTATTTTGGTTATCTTTTGTTGGAAACTATTTTGTGATAATTTTTTTAAAAAACTATGGGGGACTCTGTTCCTCGGAATGCTGTTTTACGTCTACGAAAATCGATATACAGATTGAAGCAAGCTTCACGTCAGTGGTTTCGTAAGTTTTCTGACTCATTGCTGCTGATGGGATTTCAGAAATTTCATAGAGATCATACTTTATTTGTTAAGAGTTTGCCTGATGAATTTGTGGTTGTGCTAGTCTATGTTGATGACATCATAATAGCTAGAACAAGCACTGATGAAGCTCTGAGGTAAACTAATGATCTTAAGCAGTGTTTCAAGCTTAGAGATCTTGGAGAGTTGAAATATTTTCTGGGGTTGGAGATTGCTCGAAGTACAAGTGGTATTTCTCTTTGTCAACGGAAGTATGCATTGGATCTTTTAACTTCTGAAGGGATGTTATCTTGTCGTTCTGCTTCCGTACCTATGGTACCAAACCTGAAGCTTTCAAAGACAGATGGTGAACTTCTTGATACTCCAGAGCGATATCGCAGGCTTGTGGGACGGTTGATGTATATCACTATTACTCGGCCAGATATCACTTTGCTGTTAATAAGTTTTGTCAATATTCCTCTGCTCTGCGACTTCCTCATCTTCATGCAGTTTACAGAGTTTTTGAGTATATTCATGGGACAGTTAGTCAGGGACTGTTTTATTCTGCTGAAGAGGACCTTACTCTTAAAGGATTTGCGGATGCAGACTAGGCATCTTGCCAAGATAGTAGACGTTCAACCACTGGCTTTACTATGTTTGTTGGTTCTTCTTTGATATCATGGAGATCTAAGAAGCAACCTACCGTCTCACGGTCATCAGCTGAGGCTGAATATAGAGCATTGGCATTAGCTACATGTGAGATGATCTGGTTATGTCAGTTACTTCGCGACTTGCGTATCACGCGTCTACCGGTTCTGGTGCTTTATTTCTATAGCATGTTTGCTCTTTATATCGCCACGAATCTTGTCTTTCACGAGCGAACTAAACACATCGAGCTTGATTGTCATACTGTTCGGGAGAAGCTTGACAAAGGTCTTCTTCGTACACTCCATGTTCGTACTGAAGATCAAATGGCAGATATTCTTACTAAACCTTTGTTTCCTCATTCTTTTCGGCATCTTATGTCCAAGATGAGCTTAATCAACATACATAGCTCATCTTGAGGGGGACTATTGAGTTTAGAATTAGATTAGACCATTGAACCGGTTTCCTTTTGTTGGTTCATGATTAATTATTGAGAATTGGTTTAGTTTGGTTTAGTAGATTAATTGTATATATATGTTTGTAAAGTTGACCGTTGAGACTAATGAGAAATATCTTTTTCTTCTAACAAACTCTTTTTCTTATCCTCTTCTTCCTCTCTCAAATCTCAGATCGTAATAATCATGCATGATTATTCGATTAGTTCTTATAAATTTGAGATATGAGTTTAATATGTAGTGTGCATATTACATAGGATAAAAATAATCATTGTTTTTGTAATATCCCGGTTTGTGGTATTTAGAAAAAGTTTAAGAGAATTGATTTGGTTACCTATGTCACCAAAGTGCACTTACATTTTCGGGAGCACATCCAGAGAGAATTCCAGAGTTAAGCGTGCTTGAGCTGGAGTAGTCAAAGAATGGGTGACCTGTCGGGAAGTGATTTGCGATACCGTGTAAGTGAGGCCAAAGCACGGGGAAAGTTCATGTGGTGATTGCAGGGCCAGTAAACATGACTTTAGAGCCTTGGAAAATTAATGGACCGGCCGTTGGAACGGGATGAGGCCACGGGCCGAGAGAACGGGCGTGGGTGGCCCATTAGCCGTGGGTGGTCGGGGCGTTACAATTGGTAACAGAGCTGGTTAGCCATCTCAGTTCTGACCTGAGAGGCGTCTTGAGACCTATCATGGAGCGCAACGAGGACGTTGCGTTCTTTGAGAGGGGGTGAATTATAACATCCCGGTTGGTGGTATTTGGAAAAAGTTTAAGAGAATTGATTTGACTACCTATGTCACCAAATTGCACTTAACTTTTAGAGAGCACATCCAGAGAAAACTCTAGAGTTAAGCGTGCTTGAGCTGGAGTAGTCAAAGGATGGGTGACCTGTCGGGAAGTGATTTGCGATACCGTGTAAGTGAGGCCAAAGCACATGGAAAGATCATGTGGTGATTACAGTGTCAGTAAACATGACTCTAGAGCCTTGGAAAATTAACGTACCGACCGTTGGAACGGAATGGAGTCCACAGGCCGAGTGAGCGGGTGTGGGTGGCCATTAGCCGTAGACAGTCAGGGCGTTACAGTTTTTTACAAACTTACAATGTATGAAAATAAAATATAAGTATATATCGATGTGGGATTATATTCACATTTCACACTATGTTGAACATATCTTAAAATAAAATAATTGGTTGATTAAGAACAAGTTGTCATATATATACTGCACGATTATCTATTGTGAATATTTTGATTATCTATTGAGTTTTAATCTAGAATAATATTTAACTATAGTTACACTGTAAGATATTTATTTTGTTTATAGATTAAAAATAAGATATTAAATACTAATATTTTTTCCTAGAAGTTTTAGTGTATTTAACTCATACAATGTTTTTTACAAAATATATTTTAACTATTCGTATGAAATTTGTTTTTAAAAATAATAAGAAATATGATTTAATTGTACATAAAACAATGATTATATAAATTAGATATACTTATTATGGTTATAAAAATGTTATAAGCACAACAATTACATTATAAGACATTAAATAAAATATATGAAAACAATAACCAAAAACATAAATTATATAATAATGATAACCTATTGAAATTGTATCCGCGCGGACCGACCTAATTAGTATATATACTTGGGCTAAATCTATTACAATAGTTGGCAGATCTAGTTAAACGGGACTACTCGAGCTAGAAGGGAACGTAAGGTTTTGGGCTTTTCTCTCTATTTATTAGGGTTTTGTGTTCTTTCTCTGTAGATGTCTTCGAAAATCATGGCAAAGGAGGAGCCATCCTTGGAATCACCGTCTCTGATTATGTTACTTCCCCATGACGTCATGGTTGGCATATTAGCACGTGTATCGAGATTCGACTATCCAACACTCTCCCTAGTTTGCAAGCGCTTCCGGTCAATAGTTACGTCGCCTGAGATATTCACAAGACGATCTTTGTTGGGACGCACGGAGCACTGTCTCTATGTCGTTCTATCTTTGCAGAACCGTAAGCATATTTATATTCTCGGCAAGAACAAAACTAACGGCGATAGCCCTCTGGTGTTGGTCCCGTCGCTTCCTGCTATGCCTATGTATGTAAACTGCGTATCAGTGGGATCGAGGATATACGCGTTTGCTCGGAGGAGCGATTTCGAGATGATGACGTTAAGCATTGACTGTGGATCTCATACCGTGCAACCCTTCCCTAGTATTCCTGAATACGTGAACTGTACAGGCGGCACTGGTATCATAGAGGGGAGAATTTACGGAGTTGGATGTCGCTTTGTGAAGGACTACTGGGAGAGGGTGATGGTGGTGTTCAATACAAAAACACAGCTGTGGGAGCCTGGGATGATATCAGAAGAGAAGGAGGGTATTATGTGTGGTTGTGTGGTGATGGCTGATAAGATTTACACGAGAAATTCTACTAACAGCTTTGTTTACGATCCAACGGAGAGTAAATGGGAAAAAGACGAGATGCTTAATCTTCACAAATGGGAAAATGCGTGTGTTATTGATGATGTATTGTACTATTTAGATTGGGACGAGATGGAGTTAAGGGCTTATGATGGAAAGCAGAGGTGTTGGCAGGTGGTAAAAGGTTTGGAAGCGTTGTTGCCTGAGATGAGAAGAAGACAAGTAAAAGAGTGGTCACAGACTGTGAATTACGATGGAAAATTAGCTTTGTTTTATCCTAAAGAAAACTCTGAAATTTGGTGTGCGGAGATTTCTCTGGAAACACGTCAAGGAGGGGAGATTTGGGGTACTGTTGAGTGGTGCCGTCATCTCGTGACTGCGCACTCTCTTTTTTTGAAAGCTCTAGATGTTGTTGTCTGATACCACACCTCTTTTTCATATACTAAACTTGTGCTTTCATTTTCTTTTTAATACAAGTTTCCTTGTCCTGCTTCACCTTATTGCCTACATGAGTTTTCTTGTCGCCTTTGAGAATCCACAACAATGACAATATGTGATAGGAATACCCTTTATCTATCTGGTTTGGTCAATATGGTTTAAGAATGTTACTTATCAATTCCGTTAGCTATCTTGGTTAAGCAAACACTATTTGTATACTCTTTACCCATTTGGGATTCATTAATCAAGAATACAACTTTATCTTCTTCATCAAGTCTTCTTCTCTATCACCACCCTCATCGCTCATCATCTTCATCACATGAATCCAGCTTCTTAGAGAGGATATCTCCATTTTAGATCATCTTTTGACCTGTGTTCATCTTTTCTTTGATCCACGGTGGATTCTAGACAGGACCCTATTCTGATGTTACATTTTGTTATCAGAGTCAGGTTCTGGTACTAATGAAACAAGAAAACCAGTGTAATAAGTTGTAATCTAGAAATCCACCAAGATTCATGTTCTATTTTCCCAGCACACTTGGCACATGTACTCAATCTTGGACAAACCAGCGAAGATCGGAGACAAGACAATAAATATAATAATTTTGTGGTTAAATTAAGTTATATAATGTGTTCCAAAAAAAGTGTTCCAAAAAAAGTGTTCCAGAAAATAAATTCCATACTTAAATTTTATAAATTCAAAATATGTAAAATGATAAAAATAATAATAATACTACTTATAAACAAAATTTATAAAAAAAAAAGTGATATTAGAACAAAATAAGTTTAAAATGTACCTAGGGTCCAATTCAAATTCAGTTGGATTCATGTCTTTCGGGACATGAAATTTAGTCATATTTGATTATTCCTAAGGTTGGATTCGAATATGATTCGGAAATCTTTGGATTTGGTTCGGATATAGTAACACTCCGTAAACTTAGTTGAGCCTCTTTAAACCAAATTACTGAATAAAATAAAATCAACTTCTTAATTCATCAAGATTGTTACACGGTTTAATATATATATATGACTGGTTTAGTAAAAGGAAGCTAAACCAGTTATAATCATAATCTTAACCGGATATACATCTGATACATCCTCCTCTAGTCTCTGAAATGGAACTGGCTTGTGGAGTGAAGAGACGTGAAGTCGACATCCGCATGAGTATAGAGTTGAAAGGACCCGGATGCAGAGGTTTGGTCAGTATATCAGCATGTGGGATTGGCACTAGAAACATGCATCAGCCACAAGAAACCGTTCTCCACCTGGTCTCGAATGGCAATCCATCTCAACATGCTTCGTACGTTCGTGGATGACCATATTCGTGACTATATACATGACTGACTTGTTGTCTCTGAAGAGTTTTGCAGAGGTATAACAGAAACATGAAGACTCGTGAGAAGCTGCTGCAACCACATGAGCTCACAAGTAGCATGAGCCATACTTATGTATTCTGCTTTGGTGTTTCTCCTACTAACCACATCTTGTTTTTTAGACTTCCAAGTTATCAGAGAATTACTAAGATGGAAACAATAGCCTGTTATGGACGTCTAGTATCAGAACATGTCCCCCAACTTGATGTATTTCAAGAACCTATGAGCAACTTGCAAGTGAATTTCAGTCGGTGATGACATAAACTGACTGAGACAATGAACATCAAAGGTAATATCAGGACGTGTTATTGTGAGATATAGTAGTCTGCCAATTGATGCACAAGAAGGAGTTGGATCCTCCGGTGGTTTACCAGATTCCTTACAGAGTTTCACAAGAGAATCTGTAGGAACCAAAGCAGGTTTACAACCCAAAATACCAGCATCAGAGAGCAGACTAAGAGAATATTCCGTTGACAAACAGAGATACCACGTGAACTACGAGCTATTTCAAGACCAAGGAAGAAGCTCAACTCACCAAGATCCTTGATCTTGAAATGACTATGAAGTGTAGTCTTCAGGTTGTCAACAGTAAATAGAGTATTACTTACAATCATAATATCATCAACATAGATGAGTATTGCAGTAAACTGAGATCCGGATTGCTTAACAAAAAGAGTGTTGTCCGCAGGTGACTGGATGAAGTCAGCTGCAGTAATCACATCAGAGAGAGAGTGATACCACTGACGAGAAGCCTACTTCAATCCATAAATTGATTTGTGAAGTTTGCAAACAGGATTCGGTGGAAGAACACAAGAAGCATGAGTATAGCCTTATAGAAGACTCATGTATATCTCCTCATCAAGTTCATTATGCAAAAAACATTAGAGACATCCATTTTTCAGAGTTCCCAGTCTTTGATCGCAGCAAGACCTAGCATGAGTTTCACAAAAGCCAGCTTTGCAACAGAAGATAATGTATTTGTGAATTCGACACCTTTCTGTTATGTATAACCCTTAGCAACAAGTCTGGACTTTTGTCGTTCCATTGTACCATCAGATCTAACTTAGTCGTGAAAACCCATTTGCAACAAACGACATTCTTACCAGGTGGTAAGGAAACAACCATTCAAGTTCTGTTATCCTCCATTGCCTGAAGTTCATCATTAGTAGCTTTCCTAAACTCAGGTGTTAACATGGCTTACTTAAAAGTGGTTGGTTCAGTATCCAAAGAGTAGGTAAGAAGATGATGGTGGTATAAGGGTGTGAGATTAGATTACGTATCAAAGGAAGAATGAGGATAAAGTAAGGTGGTAGGTGGTAATGACGATCATTGAACAAAGGAACAATGATAATCAGAGAGATAATCTGGAGTCCTTGCAGTACGATGTGGTCGAGCATGAAGTAGTTGACTATGTCTTTTAATTTGGGGAACACTCTCACTAGTAACACCCGATGTAGGATTATGCAATGCAGGCAATGATGGAACATGTAATGAAACAACATAACCTAAAACAACAGGATTAGACATAGGCAGAACTGTTGGAAAAAAAAAATCATCAGTGGAAGGAACAGGTGGACAAGGAAAGGAAATATGGTTTCTTTGAAAATGACAATGTGGGAAACATAGGTAACATTTCTATCAGGATTTAAAACATTATATCCTTTATATCCAGCAGGGTGACCTAGAAAGACACAAGGACTAGCACGAGGAGTGGATTTGTATCGCTATTTAACAAGTACAGAAACATAACACAAACATCCAAAAGATCGTAAACAATTATAATCAAGAAGTATCTGAGTAAGCATTTCATGAGGTGATTTATTTTCTAACAAGATTGAGGGAGTTCTACTGATTAGAAAAACATCAGTGGCAATGCAATCAATCCAGTAAGCAATGGGAATATTAGATTGAAAAAGTAAAGCACGTGCAACATTCAAATATGTTGATGTTTACGCTCAACAATAGAGTTTTGTTGAGTAGTATAAACACAAGAGAACTGATGAACCATGCCATGTTGCTTGACAAGTTCAGGAAATACTAACTCATGAGCATTATCAGTACGAATATATTTAATAGTTTGTTTGTACTAGGTAGAAACATGTTGAATAAAGGTGGGAAACACAGTGGAGACATCGCTTTTATTTCTTAGAAAGAAGATCTATGTTACACGAGTACAGTCATCAACTAATGAAATAAAATATCTATATCCTTCTATTGACTCGACTTTAAAAGGACCCAAAACATCTAGATGGACAAGATCAAATGGAGCCTTAGAAAAATCATTAAGAGAACAAAATGTAAATGTATTTGTCTTACGACAATAATCTATCTTAGATATAGAGGACTTAGGCATAGACATAATACCGGGAACACATTGCATAGCACAAGGAGATGGATGACCTAAACATTGATGCCAAATCTTCCCATCAACCAAAAGATATACACACACGTTCAAAGCACAAAACTTGTATCAAGTATGTAAAGATTGCTGGAAAGATTTTCTCAACCAATCGTCAAGTTCCGAGTAGATGCCTTAATTACACAATGATCCAAATAGAAATGAGCATAGCAATGAGTGTCTTTAGTCAAACAAATGATACTAATGAGATTAAAGTGAAATGATGGAACATAAAGCACATTATGAAAAATATGTGAGGTGAAATGCAAACACTGCCTATATGATTAATATGCTCTTTTAGGCCATTAAGTAGTGAGACTGTAACACCAGTAATAGGAGAAATATCACTAAACCGTTCTAGATCGTAACACACATGTGTGGTTGCTCCACTGTCAAAAATACGAGAACCATGAGGCAAAGAGTTGTGTAAAGATGAAAGGCATTGATGGTTAAATGTGAGAAATTGCTTTTCACAACGAAGATTGGAAGAAAGAGAAAATCTGATATCTGAACTTGATTGATCAGCCATGTGACCAATTTAAATAATGGAAGCATTATGTTGATGGACAACAGATTCTGAAGGTCGAACCTGACGTTGTAATTTCGGGAGAAGAGCTTGTACTTGGTCCTGATTCAGCATGCTCAGATAAATAGGAGCTTGTTGGGAAGATGGATACACCATGAGAGCATTGGTGATATTAGCAACAGTATTAGTCTTCGGATAATACTGAAAATTTTCTGTTGTGGCTGAGTGGAGGGATCGCTTGAGAAGTGAGGATAGCCCTGTTTATTTTGTTGGTCACGCGGAGAAAAATCAGTAGAAGTCTGTCCTTAGGATCCTGATTGTGGAACCTATGCCCTAGAGGATAGCCATATATCTCAAAACATTTCTGAGTAACATGACAATATTGTCCACAATGAGTACAGATTGGGTGTCCTTTAGAACGATAATTCTGATGTTGACTAGAGAAGACATTATCAAAAGCAAGATCGCCACGGAGAGATGGTTCAAGAGAACCGGTTGTTTGGAACACCACATTTTCAGTCTTTGAAGAAGGTTTGATAGACCCCTGTCTCTCGTCTTGAGTGATCATGTTAAAAGTATCTTCAATCAAGAGCAATGGTTTCAACATCAATATATGTCTCCTGTTATTCTCAGACGACTCGTTCAGTCCCATCAGAAACTTAGTAACTCTACCATGCTACTGTAA